AAATGCAGCCACCACCTCTTGGCTCAGAGGCAGAGCCCAGAGAGGAGAGGAAGGGTAAGGCTGTGCTGTACCCCAAACTCTGCTGCAGTGCGTGTTCCCACGAGGGTGCCATGGGATTCAGGACCTTCGTGCAGGTGAGGTGGTCATGGGGGAGGGGTAGCAGAGGACAATTCCTGTCCTGAGGAGGGAGCCCCAGAGACCCACACATTCCTATGCACATTGGTAGATTTTGCTTTAAGCTGACCCAGAGCACTTGCCTTTCTGAGACTGGTATAAAGCAGGCCACTTTCCCTCTGCGAGCTATGGGTAGCACATCACCGCAAGCAGACAGCCATGGGGGCCATGGGAGCCTATGCCATCTCAGAGAGAAGGGTCTGTCTGACAAGCAGGGGGTGATAGGGACGAAGGCATTGACCTCCACTCCTCTCTCCTCTTACCGGGCCCTGTCCCTGCTGTCATGGCTTTCAGCCATAAGATACCAGTGTATGCTAGCCTGACACATGCCCAGTCACCTCACTTAGGACATTGTTCGGTTTGGTGCACCTCCCAGGTGGACGCTCCTCAGTCCTTTGCCTACAGCATCAGGGTTCTAGTACCTGTCCCACCCTCCCCAGCTCCTCTGACCACTAAGGAGGGCTTTCTGGGATCTCTTCAGCGATCCCAGAAAAAATCAATGTTTCTTGCACCCCAACAGGATGATGAGAGCAGAGCAGCCTAGTCTAGTGGTCACAGTGAGCACAGTTCAGGGTCACCCTCCTGAAAGAAAAATGTACCTGGACAGTCCTCGAGCCGCCTCTACTGCACACTGACTCCAAGCTCCGGCTCTATAGACCTGCGGCCCTAGCAAGGCCAGCTAGCCAGCTGGCCTCGGCCTCCCAAGAGGCTGAGGGGGCTAGAATTGCCAAGCAGCATGCCCAGGAATGTGTAGGGTCCCTAGGGCTCCTTCCCTGTCTGGGTCTCCAACGTGTCTACACCCCATTGTCTCATACTTCAGAGCTGTTTGGACTTGCCTATATTTTGTTGGAGTTGTCCCTATGTCTGTCTGTGTCTCTTGCCTTGTCTCTCTAGGTCTGTCTGGACCTATCTGTCATCTGTCTGTCCATCTGTCTTCTGGGGCTTGAATTCCAGTCCCAGCCTTGCCTCTGGCTCACAGCATGGCCTGAGCAATATTCTTCTTGGCAGTTCATGTCATGTCTCCTCCATCTGTACCCAGGCCCCTGCTTGACCCCACGAGGCCATCTGACCCTCTCCCAAGTCCAGCCGCAAATATGTGCGAATGCCTCGTATCCACCCTTCTCACCCAGACCTGGAGAGTCAGAGCAAATCACCAGACTTCCAGTTTCTCTCCTACACTTTTGGGAACTGATCAGTCAGCCCCAATGCCAGCAAGTCTTGGCCAGGTTTAGCAGAACTTCAGAAACGTGTGCATGTTTCTGTAACAGCAAAAGGTGAACAACAGTGTCTGTGGGATCCAGCTGGGTGATCTGGGCTCTTCTCCTAAAGGAGCGTGACCTGGGTGTGAGGAGGCCAGGCAAGCTCCACAGTGGATCAGAAGGCTCCCTAAGGTTTTCCTTGTAGCACAGGCCAGACTGTGCATGAAGGAAAGAAAGGAGGGCACAGACTTAACAGCGCCTTCTTTCTCTGAGAGGGGAAGGTATTCTTGGGCGTGTGTTGAGGACGCGGCCATGGAAGGAGAAAAGCAGAGCGAAGACAGATTGTTGCTTCCAGGGCAAAGCATAAGAAGGGAGGAAGGGAGGGAGGAAGGGAGGGAGGGAGGGAGGGAAGGAAGGAGTTTGGGAGGGAGAGAGGGAAGGAGGGAGGGGAAGGAAGGAGGTTGGGAGAGAGGAAGGAAGGAAGGAAGGAAGGAAGGAAGGAAGGAAGGAAGGAAGACGGCCTCCAAATGTTCCTGGATTTATGCTGTGGTCTGTTTAACCAAGCACTTTGTATAATTGAGAAGAAAATTTTCATTAATTTTTATATTTGAAACAAATGAGGAAAAGATGAATCTGAATATGGGGTTGGTGGGGAGCCACTGTGAAGAATTGTCGTGGTGCCTCTGAAAGTCCTTCCATTCAACTCCGTCCTCATGGGAGCGAGCAGAGAGACAAACGGCAGGCTTTCAGGAGACTTCGGTGGGACACTGATACTGTCATTTCAAAATTGCTGCAGATACAAGGAGGAAAGTAAGGAAGGGTAGGATGTTAAGAGAGAAGTCAAAGATCCAATTTTAATGACTAAAAAACCCAAACCAAAAAACTAGAATCCCAAAGTTTAAGTGCAAATATCAATAGGAACTCCCGTCTTAGGTGTCTGCTTCCGACAATGTAAAGCATGTTGGCAGGTGGCGCCTGCTTGGAGACTCAGTACCTGGAAAATAGAGCTCGGAGGACTGGAGGTTCAGGGCTAGCTTAGTCTACATGAGGCTGTGTCTCGAAAAAATTAAGCTAAAATTGTTGGGCCAGAGAGATGGCTCAGTGGGTAAGAGCTGTGTACCCATGAAGATCTGAGTTTGGAACCCCAGCATCTGTAGCCCTGGGAGTAGGGAGTTGGAGACAGGAGGATCCCTATGTCCTCATCCCCAGCTTAGCCAATAGCAAGCTCCAAGCTCAGTGAGTAAACCTGTCTAGGGGAACGAGACATGCACACAAGTAAAATAATGAGTTTGTTCACAATAGAAGATGCCCATGCTCTGGTTGTTGTGAACACTGAGATGGGGGGGTCGGGTTTCTCCTATTAAACTCCACCAAAGGCTCATGAGGTCGCAAGGATAGCACAGCAGCAGCTGTGGAGAGGCCTCCGAACCCACAGCCTCACTGGGACAGTGTGGCCACTGACTGCAGGATAAAGACTGCAGTAGATGGAAACACGCCAAATGGTGAGCAACGCTGCAGTGAGCCTCAAAGCCTCAGACACAGCCTCAAGCCTCAGGGAGGCTCTGCCTGCCCTAGGAGGTGATGGGGGAAGAACTGGGCATAGCTGCCTCCCATCTTCAGACGAGCCTTTGCTATCACAGGCTCAGCAAGCTCTTTATAACTTTATCTGGAAGAACCTGAATAGATAATGTGAGAGAAATGAAACTTTGAGGGAAAAAAGTCACTGTTTTGCATTTGCTGTGATATTGCTAGAGCAGTTGGGTAGCAATCAGGAGGGGACATCGCATGACGAAAGAACTAGATGGAACCACTGTCAACGCAACATCACGAGAAGGGGAATTGGCCCTACGCCTTGAAGGTGATGTATAAGGAGGCCAGCTTAGAGTTCCAAATGGTCACGAAGGGTCTGTTAGCAGCCACACGAGGAAACACTCCAACTCTAATACACAGAAGATTCTGTAAGATGGATGAGTACACTTCTCTCTAACCACATGGCAGGGAGGCAGGAGAAAGACGGGTGAGAACTGAGGCATTCAGGAATGACAGGGTCTCACACGAATGGGAGGCTAATGTGTAAGGACGGCATCTCAGAGGATGGGGAGGCCAAACAGAGCGGTGGCTTTTCCGAGTCCCCGTCGGTTGTCAGCACAGAAGTGCTGGTCGGTAGACTAAGATGCTCTGGCTCTCCTTTAAAATGGTCCGGTTATTCCCTCCGTGCCTTCTCCACCAGGCCCCACAAAACCAGAACATCTTTGGAGTAGAGGAAGGGATGGGCTTACCCGGGTCTTGCGGCCGCTCAGGGAAGGACCCTGGAAGACAGAAGGGCTGCGGGAAAGCTGCTAAGTCTCGCTTCAGCTGACACCAGCTACGATTGGAATGGTCACCCTGCAGAAGACAAGGGAAGACAGCAAAGGAGAGTCTGTGTCCTGGGGGCACAGGTCCATCGGGACGATCCCTGCAAGCAGCACACTTATGCAGGCTGCCAGCTCCCTGCAGTTAAGAGCTCATGGCATCAGGACCATAGGAGTCTGTCTTCTAAGAATTTATTCTGAAAAAGTCATGGAGGTTGATTCTACAACATGGGGGGGGGCTCGCCATCACTTCCCTATAATGTCACTGGGAATATATTTTTTCTAAATATGAATTTCATAAATTAAAAAATTGTTTATTGTTTTCAGTTTCATGATATAAAAAAGTTCTAGAAAAAAATCTGCTTAGTTGGTATTGAACTAGCACTTAACAGTGGTAAAGACGGGACTGGAGAGGTGGCCCATCAGTGAGGCATTTGCTGCTCAAACACAAGAACCTGATTTTTATCCCCTGTACGAAGCCAGATGTTGTATGCACATTTGCAATCCCAGCACAGGGAAGGTGGAGAGAAGTGGACCCCTGGGGCATGCTGGCCAGCTATTTCAACTATTTTGCAAATACCAAGCCAATGACAGAACCTGTCAAAACAAAATACAACCAAACAACTCTCCCCATTCTCGCTCAAACAAGGGACTGTCAGGGAGGCTCAGCAGATGGAGGCGCTTGTAGCCAAGCCTGACAACCCGAGTTCCAGCTCTGGGATGCACCTCCCAACACTTGGGAGGCAGAGGCAGGAGGATCTCTGTGATTTCTAGGCCAGCCTGGTCTACAGAGTGAGTTCCAGGACAGCCAGGACAAAGCAGAGAAGCCCTGTCTTTGAAAAACAAAACAAAACACAACACAGACAAACAAAAAACCTCAGAACAACAACAACATAACAGAGCACCAGCAGCTTCTTCCAAAGGACCCCAGTTCAATTCCCATCACCCACATGGACGCTCACAGCTGTCTGTAACTCAAGTTCCAGGGGATCTAAAGCCTTGCAGCATCCATGAACACAGCATACATGGTGTACAGACATACACGCAGGCGAAACCCATACACATAAAAATTAAAAGTAACTTCCATGTCTGACTATTAACATTCACCTTTTGCAAATGGAGAAACTGAGGTTAAGAGGTGGAACAGGGCTTAGAGGCTTGGATCTCCTCTCCTCTTGCCTGCTCCATCCCAGGCTGATCTCTGGTTTGTGGTATCCACATTCTGGCCTTTTGCATAAGGCACTACCAATGCTGTGCCCTGTGGTATCTGTTGCAGGCTGTTGATGGAGAAGTGGGCGGATGACAGCCGGGACTGTGGTCATCACTGGGGGCATCTTGGCAACTGTGATTCTGCTCTGTATCATCGCTGTTCTGTGCTACTGTCGGCTTCAGGTACTCCCAACGGATGGGCAGATGGGCAGGGGACCTGGTTGGGTTGGAGCCTGAGGGTGGCTCTGCAGGGGGAGCCCCTAAGAAGACAGAGAGGGCCAGGGTCCAGGATGTAGTGGAGGAGGTATAGTCAGATTTCAGCGGAGATGCCCAGCAATGGGGCTGGGGGAATCTGTGCAGTTCAGAAAAGCCAGCTCACTCAAGGCTTTTGCTGAGGCTCAGAGGGACTCAGGGACTCTCCAGTGGCACACAGCCACCCTTCAGGAGAGCGGCAGCGAAGAGTATGCTACCTCGCCTAGCTTTCCCTGCCTGCGCTTTAGAGGCTTCTGAGGTCCCATGGCTTCCTGACAGGAGGGAGCACCCGTGTGTAAGGCACACCCAGTGCCTATGACTCAACTCTAGGATCTGAAATGGCTTACCCAGACCTATCACTTTCAGGTTTCTTAACCCAACTGTGCCTCAGTTTACCTGCCTATAAATTGGAAATTAGACTTACATCCAGTTGTGTGGGTGAGATAGATAAGTGACATTATTGCAGGGACCTCAGCTCAGAGCGGCCTGGGGTAGATGCTGGGTGGTAGTGGAACAGGTGGAGGAGACTGAGCAGGGTCACCCAATAATCTTGAAGGCTACCCTCTGGTCAACACTGGTGAGAAACGCCCTGTGGTCACCTGTCCCTCTGTCCACAGTACTACTGCTGCAAGAAGGACGAATCCGAGGAGGACGAGGAGGAGCCCGATTTCGCCGTGCACTCACACCTGCCGCCCCTGCATTCCAACCGCAACCTTGTGTTGACCAACGGGCCCGCTCTCTACCCAGCTGCCGCCACCTCCTTCAGCCAGAAGTCCCCACAGGCCCGCGCCCTCTGCCGCAGCTGTTCCTACTACGAGCCACCCACCTTCTTCCTGCAGGAGCCAGAGGAGGACGACTTTGAGGGTGTGCGCAACGGTGGGGGCCGTGTGGCCTACAAAAGCATCAGCCAGGAGGACGTGGAGCTGCCCCCAGCGACCTTTGAGGGCCTTCAGGCGCTCAACCCCAACCGCCTCTCAGCCATGCGTGAGGCCTTTTCCCGAAGCCGCAGCGTTAGCACCGACGTGTGACAGGCCTCCATACTGCCGAGGCATCCAGCCTTGGAAGGTCTTGAGATCATGGCAGGATCCCCATGGCATGCCCTGGCCCCATGCCCAGACCTCTGCTCAGCCATGTCTTCCCTCTATCCCTGTACTAGGGGCTCTAGGCATGGGGAATCCCCGGGCCCTTTACAGGGATAAAGTCCAATGAATCAGGTGTGGCAGCTCCTAGGCACAGCTGACCTCAGAAGGGAGGCGGGGGTCAGGAGGATAAGGTAAGGCAGTGTTGGGGTACAGGTACTAGGTCCTGTTCCCAGGAAGTAAGAAGATGGCTAGTGTCAACCCCAACAACTTGTCTGTCTCTGGCTTCATGGCCTTAACTTGTCCCTCCCTCCAGGCTTTGGGCTTTTTACCTGCTCAAGGGAGCAGGGGCCTCACTGGCTGCCAGTGGCCCTCAAGCATGAACCTTCCTTAGAGACGGTGGACCAAATAAACATTCTGTCCCCTCGCCCTGTGTCCCCCTTCCCATCCTTCTCCTCACCCTCTCTCCATTCCTTCTCCCAGCCTCTTTGACTCACGCTCCTGAACCTAGGTGCCAAGCATCTGCCCCAAGCTTGAAATACCCATTGTGCTGGCCCCCCCGAGAATGGACAAGTCTCCCTGTAGAAGGCAGAGTTTTAGGAGACAGCAGTGTTCTTGGGACGCTTTCTCTACACAATCTGCTTTTCCATAAGAGAAGAGGCATGGGGACAGGGGACGCTACTCTGGGAGGGTTGACACTCAAATTTACACATCCAGTATTCATCCCTAAACCCAGTCAACCACAGACACATCTAGCAAGATTGCTGCTGCACTGGAGGTGGCCCAGCTATGCAATAGGGGTCTCAGGTGTGACTCTAGGGCAGGCCACCCCATCCATGAGCTTGCATCCCCATCTAGGTAGTGGGGGGTAGGAGGGGGAAAGCTGACTGCAGAAAGCCCTTGAAACTTTGGTCCTCGGTGGGAACTGAGGTCCCTGAGAGAGCTGAGCTATAGATCATCCACTTCCTGTTTCCTGCTTGGAAAGAGGCCCCAGACCTAGACAGCCAGAGCCAGCTGCCCCTGTATGGAAGCCCCGTCTCTACCCACACAGCTCCAAGCCCTCCTCCTCTGAATGAGGAATTGGTGTCAGGTAACCACCCCTTGAGGGTGCCCCAAGCCCAGGACCTCGGCCCTCAGTAGTGCAGTTCTCTGCTCTGAAAGAGACACCATTCTTGGTGGCACAGCCTCAAGAGGCCCTTCCCTTCTATTTGGGACCCTAGTTCATCTCCATGCAATGTAGCCAGAGACGTGCAGGTGCCCCGTGAAGGTGCCTTCCTATAGTACAGCGGCCACTCCTGAGCCAGATACCACAGCAGGACCCTCCACCCTTGCTAGTGAGGATCTGCTGTCTTTGGCATTCTGAATTTTTTTTCTCCTTTTCTTTTTCTTGCCTTAGTTTGGTCTTGCTAACAGAATCTACCCTTAGAATCATAGAAGTCCCCAACTTTTCCCCTCTACTTCCTTTGTCCCATTCTACCCCCTTGGTATCAGTCCTTTGCATTACTTGGGGGTATGGGTGATGCAGGGAGGGGGGGCTCTGGGCTGTTCTGTCTTTGTCTCCTAGTCCCTCTCCTTTTTTAACCTCCAGCGTCTCTGAATAGCTCCATAGACATCCTCGAAGTGAATTAAGCATTCATCCCTACCAGCTCACTCAACACCACCATGGGACCTGCCGGGGACCAACCAAGCACCCTGAAAAAAGCAAAAGCCAATAAATTTGTTTCCCACACCATGGCACTAGACTGCTTGTTTGTCCATCCACTGGGCACTGTCAGGCACAGACCCTCTCTGGAACCAGACAGAGTTCACCTTCCCAGCCCAGTTGGTGAGTTCTAGCTCTGCGCAGAGGGGCTGGTAAGAGTTCTCAGGCAAACGGGGCATTATAACAAGCCACCTTTGTTTCTCAGTGCCCCCAATGGCTTTCAAGATTGTCGTTCAACAATTTGAAGAGCAGACTTGACATGATGGGTTGCTTTTCTTAAGGACAAGTGGCTGACTGTCCCTGAGCTTGCATCAGCTTAGTGGGACACTCATGCTACCCACCTCAAAATTGATGAAACTAGTTAGTGCTGGGGACATGCCTGACACAGCCTGGCATAGCTAGGTATAAACCAAAGGCCAACAGAGAGGAGTGTGGGATGAGGTAAAAAGGGAGGAAATCAGGAGGGGAGGGAGCCTGGAGGAAAGTAACGATGGGTCTTAGGTGTGGCGGAGGCCCAGCCGCTGAGACCCAAGGAAACTGCTCTAAGCCCAGCTGGTGACCTGAAGCACAGCCATCTCCCAAATCGCTAACTTCTGGCTTTGGGGGACAAAAATAAAATCTCTAGGGGGCGGCTATCTTGATCCAGTTCCTGTGGACACAGAGGAGCAATAGTGCACTGGACTGTGTGGCTGCCTCTGTTTCCTCCCAAACCCTAAACACTTCAGCAACAGAGCTGTATTATCTGGGGCAGACTGACCCCAAAGCCCAAGAGACAGTCATCAGTGTCCCTACTACCTGAGCCCAGGGGACTCCTCCATGGTGTTGAGACTGACTAACTGCTGCCATCTCAGACTCTGCCCCTTCCTCCCTGCCTCCCTGGGGGCTGTGCATGCACATGTGTCTGCACACACATGTGTGTTGTTTTCTTTTCCACTCTCTTCCACTCCAGAAAAACCAGACTGAAGCAGCTCCATCTGATAGCTCCCTTGTATCCCTGCACCCACAAGGAGCCAACCTGATGTGGGAATCTGGGCTCATGGCCCTGAGGATGGTCCTCAGAGAGCAGCAGAGGACCTTACATGAAACCTGAGCCCACTGCAGCACGTACTTTTGGTGGTCCTGCCCTGTATCTTCTAGCCTTTCTGTTCCCTCGGCTCCCCCCAGCATTCCAATAGCCCCGTGTTCCATCCCAGCGATAAGCCCCAGAGCAAGGGCAGCTAGAGATGGCTGGAGATTCATGCTAGGTTCTATCTCAACCCTGTCCTGCTACCCACAGCACCCATCCTTGTACACTCCCTGCTCTTCTCACTGCCTTTTGCCGACTTTCTGTATCAGACCGCCCTGTTCCCACCCATCTCTGCGCCCACTGTCCAGCAGAGGAACCCTGGCGCAGCCTCCCTGAAGCTCCTGACTGAGGCTGTCCACCATTTCTGCCCGAAGTGAGTGAACCCAGCACACTGCCATAAATACAGCCACTTTATTAACATGCACCAGTGAGCGGGTGGCAGGGACACCACAAGAACAGGGGCCGTCCCTTCCATCCAGCACAGGAACTCCAGGAGGGGAGGCACAGTGGCACTAATGCCTTAGGATGGGGTACCTTCGATACTTCCAGAGACAGGGCAGCCTGGGCTCCTCAGCTGAGCCAAGACCCTGCCTTGCCCAAGGCAGCCAAAGAAGGGAGACTCTCCCCTTCCTGGGTCATCTTCAAGTCACCTCGAGAGGGTTCTTCCACCTCAGAGAAGGGCCTGGAAAATGGGCAGTTACTGCCTACTCTGGGTTCTAGACTCTGGTCCCTCTAGTGTGGGCACAGACACAGGATCCTGGGAGTGAGTACGGCTTCCCGCAGCAGGGTGTCTTTATCTGAGAAGGGGCCCGTGGGCTCTGGAGGCTCTCCCCGAAGTCCCTTCTTGTCACTTGTTCTCTGTGTCACGTCTTCACAGCCCAGGATCTCCTCCTGCAGGGTGGGTGTCCAACGAGAGCCCCAGGATGTGGTGTGCAGGTCTCGGGGGGCCACAACACCAGCTAAGAGTGGGGAGGCCTGCAGGAGCGGCAGCAGGCTTTGCTGTAGTACCAGTGGCTGCAGAGGTTCACTTTGATGGCCAGTGCACAGTTGGTACCTGGCTGGTCCTGGCAGCTGTCATCTGGGGATGGGACACAATATGGGGGGGGAGGATGAAACACCATGACGCCCCAGAAGAACAGCTCCTAGGGTCCCCAACTCTTGCCACAGTGTCTTCACAAAGTCAGGAGCTCATTAAGGGCATCCCAGAGTGACACAATGACTATGTCAACAGATGAGCACCCCCAAACCTAGGTCCAGAGCAACCCACATACTACAGATTTCCAGCTCTATGCCTCTGCTACCCCTTCCTAATCCAAGTCCCTCTCCAGAAAAACATGGATCTCAGTAGGTGTTCCATCTGTTCACTTGGGGCGGGAAGTAAAACCAGGGAATTTTGGATAGTCCCTGGTCCTTCCTTCTAAGAAGTCCAAACCCTTCCAGGGCCTGTGGATTCCTCTCTCTCCTTGCCTCAGCATTCCCAAAATAGAATTCACCTTCCTCTACAATTGGCATGCACTCTGGAGACTGAACCTTGTCTATCTTCCCAGGTACCCAAGCCAGAGACCATGCCTAGCTCCTACCTGCCTGCCTCCTGAGAGTCAGCACCTGCTGCTCAGGCCAGGTCGTCTTGGTCCCTGGTCCCACAGCTTCCCCCAACCACATTTTAGGTCAGTGTTTTTTTCTGAGACCCGGTCTCTGTGTGGGGTCCCTGAACCCCATTGAGGCCCTTCCCACTAGAGAAGACCTCTTCTGAAGGCACACCCGTGTGTCACTCTAACTGCTTCCCTTACTAATGCCTGGTGTTCTGTCAGATCCTGGCTCTGCCCACAACTCCCGCCAGCCCCCACCCTGTGCCCGGCCTCTTTCTTCTCACCTGGGGGTTCTGTAGGACATGGCTGCAGGTCGCAGGCCTGCCTGCCCACAGGCTTCACCAGGGGGTCACATCCTCGGACGATGTCTGTTCCCTGATAACACTTCACGTCTCGCATCCTCACGCCTACTCCACACGTCTTGGTGCACTGGTGCGGGACAGACAGACACATGGGTCCATAGCAAGGCTCTCCATGGTGACAGAGACCGGGAATCTCATCACTCGTCACACTCTCCCTTCTGCGCCCTAACCGTCCGCAGGCTGGCCCAGGGCACACCCGCGCTTTGGAATCTAGCGCCTGAGCTGGGGCTGAGCAGAGGTAACGGGAGGAAAGGTACTGTCTGGCTTCTCTGCCTCAGTTTTCCCAGCTTCACAATGAGAGGGTGCCAACGATGACCTACTAGGTGCTCAGGTCCCATCTGTCTGAGATTAGTGACACAGAGAGTTTGCCATGGGCTAATCAATGCAACTTCCAGAGCCATCACACTGAGTCCAGATGTTCTCCCCTCAGAAAGCCTGCTGAGCTACCCAGAATACCAGGGACATCTGCTGACCCCAATTACCCCGCTATTCCCCTGCCAAGATCCTGCAGGCAGTGGTTCCCTGATGTGGTGACCCCACATCACCCAGGCATGCCTTGGACCTGAGGTATGGGGAGGCCCCCGCCCCAGGCTCACCCCTGTCTGGTTACCAGACACAGAGGAGCTGATGAAGGCTGGCATGAGGCCACCTGCTCGCTCACCCGCCCTGGGGAGAGGAGAGGCTGGCTTGGCACAGGCGACCAGAGGACACTTTGCCTTTGCAGATGCCTCTGAAGATAAGTGGGCTCCCAGCAGGTCCTGGCACCTGCTCCTCTGTCCAGGAGAAGCATTGGGCGAACAAACACTGAGCTGGTGCATCATGATGGGGCAGTTGTAGAGAAGGACACTGCCCCAGCCAGGAGCAGAAAGGACAGACTTCCATGTGTCCACCACTCACAGATTCCAACTGCTCCTGCTATCTCCTCAGAGAGATATGGGAAGCACCCCTTCCTCACGGCTGCCTTGGGGATCCTCCTCATTCATTCTCTCCCCTTCCCATCATCCAACACGGTTCTTGACTTACTCGGCTGTGGTCACACAGCTACCCTAAGACCAGTGTTCTTAAAGTACATGAGCTATTGTGCTTCCCAGACCGCAGCTAGACCTCCAGCTGTGATCAGTCAGTTCAGAGGGGACCTTCATTCCAGAGACACCTGTGTGTTTTTCTGCCTTCTTCCCCTAATGATACTTGTTGGTCCTCAATCTCTGCCATGCACCCTCTCGGCAATCGCAGCCATACCGCCCTTTTTCTTACCTTCAGGGTGATTGGCATTGATGGATACCACAGAGTCTCTCTGTCTCTCTGTCTCTCTCTGTCTCTGTCTCTGTCTCTCTGTCTCTCTGTCTCTCTGTCTCTCTCTCTCTCTCTGTCTCTCTCTCTGTCTCTCTCTGTCTCTGTCTCTGTCTCTCTGTCTCTGTCTCTGTCTCTCTGTCTCTCTCTCTCTCTNNCTCTCGTGTGTGTGTGTGTGTGAAGAAGAACTCTGGAGTTCCCAAGTCCGTGTTTGAGAAGGGCAACAACTAGGGCCTCACCCTATGGAGCTCTTGGACTTTCAAGTCTTGGAATTGTAACCCACCTATCTCAGCAACTGAGCTCAAGGAGGACCTATGTGTTGGGGTATTGGATGCTGTACCCCACAATGAAGGCACTGGGTTCCAGACCCCATCTGACACTCCATGACTACCCCTAAGCATTCAGAGTTGAGTTATGTGGGAATCAAAACCATGGGCAGCGTGAAACCCCAGGTTACTCAGCTTGGCCACAGAAGCTCCGCCCTCATCTTCCCCAGGGATGCTTAAAGATGGCTCTGGACCCCCGTGTCCTTGCACAGGACCGATACTGTTACTATGGGACGACATGGCAGATGCTGTTGCTATGAGGCAGCATGGAGGTGGAAACGGCTTCTAGATGTTGATGTGAATGAATAAGAACTGACATCTAGGTGATTGCCTCTGTGATGCTTGGAAGGCTCAGGATGCTGACAAGCCTCTAGGAGTGGTCTGAC